ATTGATTTTTTAAAAAATGCTTTTAGAAAAATAATTAATTTTCTGATTTTCAATTCTCTGAAAACATAAAAATTATTTTTTAAGTGATAAACCAATAAGACTCAAGTTACTACCATTTTTTATTGTCAACACACAAGCTTGATTGAAATATATAAAGGCTTTAATACCATGTACAATCTGCAAAATGAAAAGAAATGCGTGTGTGTATAATGAGCGAAAAGAATAAAAATAGATAACATAAATATGAAAAGAAATAAGAAAAATATAATGTCATTTAGTAAGTGGAAAATAAAACTGGTTTAGTCCTTGAGCCATTTGAACCAAAATGAAACCCAAAAGTTGATGATAGTTATGGAATAATTATCATCAACTTTTGATAATTTAAATTATAAAGCCAAAGATTTAAATTATTTAATTTTTGATAATTTAATTCTCATAACATCTCTACTCTATTTGGGTTTGGACTCTGTACTGGACCATATATAGAGACAACTATGGACCAAAAAAAATATTCCTGGTCCATTTTTCCCTGGGTCTGATCTGGTCTGGTTGCGTGGATGACAATTACCATCCCAGCCCAGAGCCTTAAATGTTTAAGCTAATGAATATAATGTACAAAAACAGTGTCCTCTCGAATGTCTTGGACAATTAATAGATACCAAAATGTGTTTTTAGCTTTTCCTAATCTTGGATCATAGTGAATTCTTCCTCAAGCTTTGTGTTTCACAATGAAAGAGATCACTTACAACTAGCACTACTATAATATAAATTATTTTTATTCAGAATGCTTATTTTTTTCAGATGTCAAGTTAAATTCATCAGTAATACAGGTTTGTGACTGATTATAACTTGAGAGTTAAATGTACATTTTTAAGTGATAATTAAAAAATAAATATTTTTTGACATATATATATATAGCGTCTATTGATAAGTCATGTTCTTGTTCTTTAAAATTTTACTTCACTTTTATAAATTTTAATTATATTTAAATTTTGTTATCAAGTATGCATTGAATAAGCGTTTAATTCTGTTAAATTAGATTACACAAATCACTTAAATTAATAGCAATCACAATTACTTCTCCAACAAGATTTTGCAGTCACAAATTAAGTTATTTCAATATTAAAAATAGTAATATATATAATTTTAATATTTCAATCAAAAAATGTGCTCTTGCACCTAATTCTTTTTCAACTAAAACTATATATAAATATAAATATACATATATATATGTATACACACATATACACACAAACATACATTATTCCAAATTTCGTCAGTCAGTCAGCACCATGAAAGGGCAGATTAAAAAGTTTTATTTCTTTATTAAATTAAGCAGCAGCAACACGACGCCCTAACACTAGCTAGGTTCATGTGATAGCTAGAGAGAAAAATCAAAAATTAATCAGGAAAAGAGAGGGTCAAAGGTCTTGGATTTATATACATTTATATGAAAAATCAGAGTTGGATTGAAGAACAAACATGGGCAGATTCATGCATGTGAGAGAACATGTGAGGAAAGAGTGGCACGTGGCAAAGAGTGTGAATTCACGTGCAGCCCATGTGAACATATGGAGGAGTGTCGACGGCCCACTCCCTCGAAGAGAATCTAGGTCAAAAGAGTCATTAGGAAATGTCCACATCCAACTTTATACATCAAGCCCGCATTTCTTTATGAAATTAAGAAGCAGCGTCACGACGCCCTAATACTAGCTATAGGTTCACGTGATAGCTAGAGAGAAAAATCAAATATTAATTAGGAAAAGAGAGTCTCAAATGTACTTCTATAAATTTTAGGAAAAGAAAAATCAAATATTATAGGTTCACGTGATAGCTACTTTTATAAATTTTAATTATATTTAAATTTTGTTATCAAGTATGCATTGAATAAGCGTTTAATTCTGTTAAATTAGATTACACAAATCACTTAAATTAATAGCAATCACAATTACTTCTCCAACAAGATTTTGCAGTCACAAATTAAGTTATTTCAATATTAAAAATAGTAATATATATATTTTAATATTTCAATCAAAAAATGTGCTCTTGCACCTAATTCTTTTTCAACTAAAACTATATATAAATATAAATATACATATATATATGTATACACACATATACACACAAACATACATTATTCCAAATTTCGTCAGTCAGTCAGCACCATGAAAGGGCAGATTAAAAAGTTTTATTTCTTTATTAAATTAAGCAGCAGCAACACGACGCCCTAACACTAGCTAGGTTCATGTGATAGCTAGAGAGAAAAATCAAAAATTAATCAGGAAAAGAGAGGGTCAAAGGTCTTGGATTTATATACATTTATATGAAAAATCAGAGTTGGATTGAAGAACAAACATGGGCAGATTCATGCATGTGAGAGAACATGTGAGGAAAGAGTGGCACGTGGCAAAGAGTGTGAATTCAAGTGCAGCCCATGTGAACATATGGAGGAGTGTCGACGGCCCACTCCCTCGAAGAGAATCTAGGTCAAAAGAGTCATTAGGAAATGTCCACATCCAACTTTATACATCAAGCCCGCATTTCTTTATGAAATTAAGAAGCAGCGTCACGACGCCCTAATACTAGCTATAGGTTCACGTGATAGCTAGAGAGAAAAATCAAATATTAATTAGGAAAAGAGAGTGTCAAATGTACTTCTATAAATTTTAGGAAAAGAAAAATCAAATATTATAGGTTCACGTGATAGCTACTTTTATAAATTTTAATTATATTTAAATTTTGTGATCAAGTATGCATTGAATAAGCGTTTAATTCTGTTAAATTAGATTACACAAATCACTTAAATTAATAGCAATCACAATTACTTCTCCAACAAGATTTTGCAGTCACAAATTAAGTTATTTCAATATTAAAAATAGTAATATATATATTTTAATATTTCAATCAAAAAATGTGCTCTTGCACCTAATTCTTTTTCAACTAAAACTATATATAAATATAAATATACATATATATATGTATACACACATATACACACAAACATACATTATTCCAAATTTCGTCAGTCAGTCAGCACCATGAAAGGGCAGATTAAAAAGTTTTATTTCTTTATTAAATTAAGCAGCAGCAACACGACGCCCTAACACTAGCTAGGTTCATGTGATAGCTAGAGAGAAAAATCAAAAATTAATCAGGAAAAGAGAGGGTCAAAGGTCTTGGATTTATATACATTTATATGAAAAATCAGAGTTGGATTGAAGAACAAACATGGGCAGATTCATGCATGTGAGAGAACATGTGAGGAAAGAGTGGCACGTGGCAAAGAGTGTGAATTCACGTGCAGCCCATGTGAACATATGGAGGAGTGTCGACGGCCCACTCCCTCGAAGAGAATCTAGGTCAAAAGAGTCATTAGGAAATGTCCACATCCAACTTTATACATCGAGCCCGCATTTCTTTATGAAATTAAGAAGCAGCGTCACGACGCCCTAATACTAGCTATAGGTTCACGTGATAGCTAGAGAGAAAAATCAAATATTAATTAGGAAAAGAGAGTGTCAAAGGTCTTGGATTTATATACACCTACATGAAAAATCAGAGTTGGATTGAAGACCAAACTAGGGCAGATTCATGCACGTGAGAGTTGAAGGAGACAACATGTGAGGAAAGAGTGGCACGTGGCAAAGAGTGTGAAATCACGTGCAGGCCATGTGAACATATATAGAGGAGTGTCCGCGGCCCACTCCCACAAAGAGAATCTAGGTCAAAAGAGTCATTAGGAAATGTCCATATCCAACTTTACAGATCAAGCCCACTTTGGAAACATGCTAGTAATAGTGGCATTGCAAACTTTCTATTGTCCACCAATTTATTTATATAATTAATCTTTTTATCTTCATTTTTTGTGAACATTATAAATAAACCAAATAAATAAAAAATCTATTAATTAAATAAAATAATTATAAATAAGATAGTAACAAATATAAATTTAGAGTTAATATGTAAGAAATGCGGACTCATCAGGACCCATACACAATCTGCAAAATGAAAACAAATGGGTGTATAACGAGTGAAAAGAATAAAAATAGTTAAAGATAAATATGAAAAGAAATAAGAAATAGTTAAAGTCATTTAGTAGGTGGAAAATAAAAGTGGTTTAGTCCTTGAGGCATTTGAACAAATATGAAACCCATGGAGAATTTGTTAAATTCTAATTTTAGGAACCTTAATGTAGTATTAGTGCTAGATTTCATAAATTCTAAACTTCATCTGTTCCAAAATAATTAGGTAGTTTAAAAATTGTGACTCACAATATTTATGACTTGGATTTGATTGAAAGACAGACAACTTTTGATGTAACCTAAAATTCCATAACTATCATAAAAAACAAAAGTATATATAACTAATTCTATTTTCTGAACTCTCCTATTGACAAAAATAAATAAATAAGTAGACACCAATGTATAAATAAATAATTTAATTCTCATAACATCTCTATACGTTATTTGGATTTGTGTCTGTACTCTGGAGAACTATGGCCCAAGTATATATATATATATATATATTTGGTCTGGACCATCCTAGCCTAGAGCCTCAAATGTTTTGCTTGTGACTATTTTTATTGAGCCGCCTCTCATTCATACAATTAATATATACAGAAAGTTATAAAGGTTCTATTAATAAACACGAATGACAAATCATAAACACGATTACAAGAATGACAAATCATAAATTAAAATGACAGTAAATCACAACTGACCCAATATTATTACAAGCACAATCATAGATGTTCTAAGTAGACACATACCATGAAAATTACCGAAGCTGATCTAGCTATAGCGATGTCCGGGAATGATGATTCGGAGGTACAAATCAAGGCATTGATCGCCAGCCAGACTGTTCCATACTTCACCGAGTACACGATTAGCAATGAGAAGAAAGGAATCACAATATGAAGGAAGATGAGGAGAAAATGACTAGTGAAATTTTGTGCGTTAGGGACAGGGGCCACGGGAGAGAGAGTCGGTTGGAGTTGTACTCTACGCTTTACGAGGATGATGATAAGAAAGCATGGCGTACACAGTCTGCAAAAGGGTGAGGAAAAAAAGCATAGAGGCAGCGAATACTGATAACTTTATCCATAGATTACCAGCACAGTTCCGTTTCACTATTTCCATTTCGGCTCGCTGTGGGGTGCAGAAATCTTCCATCGTATTAAATAGCTTATTGTAATAAAAATGATGTGGATCTGCATTCCTGCAAATACCGTTGAAGATTTGCACTACGGAATCTCTTGAACCTAAATCGTTTTGTATGATTTTTGCTTCTTCGAATAATTTTACGTCCTCCACGGAGTCAATGAGGATATCGATCAGGAGAGCGTGGGACGTGAAATAACTCCCAACCCAAGGGCAACAATGCTCGAAAGCAATGAGGTTTCTCAGGAATGACTCGGTGATATTAGAAACGGAGAAACGCGGGATTTCAAGCTTACCACTTCTACAATTAATAACAAAAGGAGACCTAAATGCCAAATCGAAAAGGTTCCCTCTTTCACTTTTCCTCAGGTGGACTCCTGCAGTCTTGAGTTGTGCTGCTGTGGGTTTGTAGCTGCAGGGATGCCCTTGGTCACGTGGAATAACTACTCCACCACCTCCTAATTCATGCTCAATTCGCCAAGGCTTGTAGCACATGTGTAGGAGATGAAGTATATGAATAGGAGATCCGCCACCCTTTTTTGATATGTCACCATCTTTTAAGCCCATCATGTCACCAAAGAAGGATAGGACACATTGAGTAAGGGAGATGTTGGGTCGACGACGTTGGCTTCTATTTGCTGCTGTGGTAGGTTCCACGGGATGAAAACGTTCCACCGTCAGATTAAACAATTCTTCAAGGGCAGAGAAGGGTACCTGGTTCTCGAGTAACAATAAGTCACGCCGGACAGCATAGGACTTCAAATGATCCCGCAAGATTGGGTCACTTCGCTGCTGAATTGTGTAATGCCTGTATAGAAGTTCAATAATGAAGCAACAATCAATAGTCACTATAGAAACAATATCTTCCTCTGGCTGACCGACTGCTGGATAGCATGCTTTCAAAGTGTTAGCCATCGGACGCAGAGTTTCCTCACATCCTTCTTTTGTAATTGTTTGCCCACCATTACTTCCTGTTCGTTGAAATAGGCTAGACATGTATGTGGATTCTTTGACACTCTCCTCAATTGCTTCCGGACTAGTTAACTTACCTCTGTGAACAGGCCCAATAGATACGACGCTGGGAGTATAAGCTCCTCCTTTTTCTTGACGAAGTACGCCGGGGACACTTTCTATGACGGGGTTCGTTGGCCCCCCCGCCAGTGTCATGGAGTTGTTCGTTTCTATCCAATCACGGAGATCATTGGATCGGTATCCAGCAGCGACATGGACAATTGAACAGAAAATTTCATCGACCATCTGATCGACAGTGACTCGTATCACTTCCATAAGATCGTTGAATTTATATTCGATCCAACACAGAGTGTGCAATCAAGCCTGGATCAACAATCAAACTCTGAGATTGTAATTTGTGCTTGTGGGCTATCAGCATATATTCTTTAATTGAATTGTGGTGGTGATGGTCTCCTTATATTTGAGGTTTTAAGGTCTAATATGTACGGAGTCTACCGTCTGCCAGTAATGAGTATCCCATGCAATAAAATTGAATCCTCGTGGTTGTGTGACGCACAGAATGGAATATTTTATAAAAAAATATGTATGTAATGATCAAATGGAGAAAACAAATAGAAAAATAATAAGATTTGAAAACTTAATTATCAATCCAATGATTCCAACGACCCGACTAAACAATTGTCAATAATGTTAGATTATCTTTTCAATAATTGGCTTAGTTTTTGTATGTATATATTTGATAAATTATATATACCTCCTTTATAATTTGTCATAGTTATAGAGATTTTTTTTATAATTTAAAAATTATTCAGAATTTTTTTAAAAATAAAACTAACTTACATGGACTTACCTTCTAGTAATGGACCGCCAAATACACTAACAGATCTGTCTAGTTTACTGAAATTGTGACGACCCTACTTTTTAAAGCAGTGCGTCATGTGATGAATCAAATATTGACCCGATAACGGATCCAGATACAGAAATAAGAAACAAAACAACGGTCTCCCAAGGCACAACACATCTCTAAGACACTTTGATGACCTTCCATGAGGTCATGGAACTCAATCAGAACTGACGCGGAAGCAAAAGATCGAAAAAATAACAATTTATCCCCCAGGGGCAAAATAGTCATTTTATATGAAAATGACGTTCCTAAAATGTATATCATTCCCGAGACTCATCCGTGACTTCCCATGAAGTCATAGAACTCAAAAGAAAGTAACGAAAGTGGAAAGTAAGAAAAACTGGACAAAAATAGTCCCAAGGGCAAAATAGTCATTTTTGAAAATATGGATTCGGGTGCCACCGAGTACACCGCTGGAAAGATAACGAAAAACTAATTAAGATGGAATCAAGAATCGCATGATTCGGAGTCCGAACGAAGGAAAAATGGCATGACGAAGAAAAACGACAACTTAAGGCTAAAAGGGTAAACTGGTAATTATCCAGGAAGATTCGGGTGCAACCAAGCACACTGTTGGAAAGACAGTGAAAAATTAGTCAAGTTAAAAAAAAATTCACTCGATTTGGAATCCGAACGAAAGAAAACGAGCGAAAACAAAAATCGACGTCACGACGTCAAGAAGGGGCACCACGAGCATCCCACGAGCACTATAACATGCACCATGATATGCTAGGAAAGAAAAAAAAATTCAGCCAGGACTAAGAGGCGAAACGAATTTTTTTGAAAAAACATGAAGAAGAAACCCCCCCTAAAATCGAGTTTTCTACCCGATTACGTGAAAGGAAATGGAAAAAACTCACTGCGAAATCCCCAAAATGCCCCTAGATTAGAAGAGGTCAAGAGGGCAAAAAGCTGCTACAGTAACTATCCACATCTGAGAGCAAAACGGGCTATCAAATGAATTTTTCTGTAAAAACACAAAAAAGAAACCCTTCCCGAAATTAAATTTTCTATCCGGAAATGTGGGAGAAAATGAAAAAAACATACTGTGAAATTGTCAAAATGCCCCTAAATCAGAAAAGGGTTAAAAACTCAAAAAATGCAATTTTGCACCAAGTATGCATTTGACCCTAAATGCATTTCTAGGTTGAAATTAGGGGTGTTTAAAAAATCTAGTAAACCGAAAAATTGAATCGGACCGTATTGAATTGGGCAGTTTAGGCTTGTTGTATAGTGGTTTGGTTCGATCCTGGGCACAAAATTATGGAACCGTAATTTTTCGGTCTGGTCCTAGTTTAGGGTCATGCTGGACCGGATCAGCCCGGACCGTTACTATGTTATATAATATATATTTATATATGAATATCATATCCTAAATTTAAATCAATTAAAGTTCTCACGTGCCCCTTTCTTTCTTTTGTTCTTTAAATTCCTTAAATTTCTTTTAAAAAAAGTCAAATTTCCCTTTCAATGTTAGTTGATATATATATTAAAAAACTTTGGCTCCTCTAAATTAAAATAACATAAAAAGGAAATCAACTAAGACTTACAAATCGTACCGAACCAAACCTGTTTTTCATTATTTGGTTTGGTTTGATTCCATGAACATCATGGTTCGGTCTGGTTTTAAAAGTAACAGAACCGTTATAAATGGTTTGGTCCCAAAATACTCTTAATCCAGTCCAGACCGGACCGTATGCACCCCTAGTTGAAATGAATGTGCACGCAAGTGTAATAAATGATTCTAAGCGCGCAGGAATAGTCCGAGGCTCTCGAGAAGCCCCAACTCAAAATCCGACCCCTCGATGGCCAAAAATGATAAAAATGAACTTAAAATGAAAATTTTGAAATCCAAAAATATGAAATGGAGTTAATTACCGTTTGACCCTTGGTCATATTTTATACATGATTAATGAGACCCTATAGGAGAATAAAAATAAAATTTCCACACCCGATGCAAAAGTAATGAAGCAATGACTTATGAATTTTCAATATTTTCATAACATTTCATGAAATCAAGAATTACATAAAATGCAATATAAATGTCATTGGCCTCCGGCCTCATCTCACACAAGTCAAATATATCGTAAAAGGTATACTTATGTACACATTACATATATGGAATCAAAAATACAAGTTTAGACATATAAGGTTACAAAATGACATTTTATGCTAACATTTGCATAAAATGAAAACTTAAAAGTTACAAGTTATCCTAAGTATGATGAGCATCACGAACCAAGTATTCGTACCTAAAAAATGTCCCTGGTAACTTTGGGGTGAGTAACATAAAGCTACTTGTAGAAGATGAATATGCATAGACCTAACATTTTACAATAATATCACCTTAAGGTGAAACATGTTAAAGGGGCTCATGCCACCTAACGTCTGTCAAAATGAGACTCAGGGAGCATTATAAGCTACCTTAGAGCATTTCTAGCATAAACTACAAAATTTATGCAATTAAACGATATAGAAGCATACTATACAACGCAATAAGACATAGATTCTCAAAGTTATCAACTTGAAATCTAGAATACGAAAACAACTAAAGTGGGTCATGCCACCTAACGTCTATGTTCCAATATAATTCATAGGATCATTCCTAAGCCACATTAGAACAATAAAACACAAATCACAATATCGATGCAATTTAACCAATATTGGAACTTCCAATACAACACATAAACCATGATTTCTCAAAGTCAACATTTTAAAACTCAAAATGAGAAATCAAATAAGGAACAACAAGTTACGATATCATCTAATTATCGACTTAAAATGAAATGCGAAATCAAACAAGGTGGATACTTGGACATCACGTTGGATCAGGCCGACACCATAGTTACTTTAGGGTTACTAACCCAAAGGTAACCTCCCTATGTGCGCACTAGACTTGTAGAGGGACAATCCCCTGTACTAGAACCATGTCCTAGCCGTAGTCATACAATGACATCCCCAAGTTTCCAAAATTAATAAGTTATGCAACAACGTATATATCAACATGTTTATACAAGATAATCAATTATCTACCACGCACAACCAAATTTGGAAACACATACAATACATGCTCTAAGTTCACAACTACTATGGCAAGACAAATGTCGAATCTTCAGTGTGCGATTCGTTACACGTTATAACAATATTACTCAATATTGAAAACGTAAACTCATTAATTTAAATATAACAACAATGTTATCCAATGCTCAAAATATAACTAAGTAAATTTACAACAAGTCCAAGTCCATGATTTAAATATAGAAACAACTTCTAAAACATAATTAAATTCATTGAGCAATTAGATAGAATTTAATTAAATAAAAATAATTAAATTCTCTAGATTCCAAATCAATTCCAAATAACCTCAAATCAATACATTTTAAAGGACATAGCACGGTCATCACCGATATCTATTCAAAAACTTAATTAGGTTATTGAATCAATAAAATATAATTTAATTAAATTATGCTAATTTAAATCTTAAGGTTCTAAAGCAACTTCAAATGGTCCCAAATTAATATATACTAGTAAACAAGTACTAGTCATTACAAATATCAAGTTAAAAACTTAATTAAGCCAATGGAACCAGTAAATAGATTTTAATTAATTCATTTAATTAAAATCTCTAGATTTTTAAATTCGCCAAAATGCTATCAAATTAAAGTATGTTATAAAACATGCCAAGACTTGATTAATAGCCTAATACAAGTGATTTCCATGCAAGTTACAACCATGATAATTAAACCTTCATATAAGAAAAAATAATAAATGAAATGTTGCAAAATCTAATCAAATATTCCCGATATAATATATGTAAAAGTATATGGCATGCACGTCAATAATATCAAGTCAAAATTTCAATGAAATGAATAGTGCACTTGAAAAAAATCAATTAATCAAATTAATTAATTATCTCTAGATTTTAAAATATCTTCAAATACTCTCAAATTCACATATATTGAAGAGCATGCTAAGACCTAATATAATATGACATCACACATTAATTTCAAGCTAGATAATGGCACATGAATTAAATTTTCATTCTAGAAGAATATTAAATAAAAACTTCAATACTTGTCCAAATGCTTTCAATTTAATATATGTCAATGAATATATCAAGGTGTAATATAAGATCATGCCATATGTTTAAACCAAACTCTAACCAACCGGGAGAATTAAATCTCATACAAGAAAATAAATAAGGTTTTTAGATTTAATACATAGACATGTAAATGAGTTGTATAAGTATCAATAGCATGCAATACATCAAGAATATAAACTATAGCACCTCCTACCTCAATTTGAGATGAAATCTCAAATTCCCACCGAAAAAAAAAATGTTCTGAATTCGACAATACTCCTAGGTTATGTCGGGAACAACGAGGGGAGCAACTTTAACCTTTGAAGTACC